CTACATGAGCTTGGGCTGCACCAGAGCCGAGCACAGTATAGGGGGGTTATAGCAGAGACACTTCACAGTATAGCCCTGACACGCTACTTCATCTAGGTGATAGGGTCAACACCAGGGGTATTTGGTTGTGTTCAGCATGCACCTTTGATGTGATGTGACCAGAACGGTATGTTACCTCAGTCTAGTCATGAGAAAATTATTAGACAAATCCCAATTAGGGACAGCCTACAAAATGCCTGCCAATACTCTTCAAAACTGCCAAAGCAGTTAAAAACAAAGTATGAGAAATTTTTGTAGCCAACACGGCCGTAAGGAGACATGAAAGCTGAATGTAACGGTATCCTGGATGGATCCTGAGACAGGACATTAGGTAAAAATGTAGTAAATCAGAACAAAGAACATTATTTAATTTTAATAATGACATATTAATATTAATTTATTAATTGTAACAAATACGCCACACTAATGCAAGATGTTAATAACAGAAACTGGGCATGGGGTATATGAAAATCTCTGTAATATCCTTTCAACTTTTCCATAGATCTATAACTTCTTTTAAGTATATTTAAAAATGGAGTAAAAAAGAACTTAAGAAGTAGACTTTCTTCCTAGAGAACTAGCATCCATTTAACAGACAGATTGCTTTTAAACTAGTATAAACAAACAGGCCTCTACCTACCAATCCACCACTATTTTCCTTTGACTGTTTCTTTGCTGTATGCATTCTCACTTGTACGTATTGTTCAAAGGGACAATAAACTTAGCTTGCGCTTTTTTAAAATTTAAATAATCCTTTTTGTTCTAAGAACTTCAATCTTAATCACATGAAAATATGAATTTCTTCAGAAACTCTCCTTAAGGATTGCAGACGTTTAAAAAAATTCTCTCATATTTAAGTTATTCCTTCTATTTGCTATTGAATACAAAAAGTTCTTTTTTCTGTATTATTTGCTCAAGTGAATATTCAGAAGTAGGGCCACAATCCTGTATTACTTAACAAGGGGGGGGGGATTAGTGGCAAGAACTGCATCCTCAGGCAATTTCTGTTGTGTCCACACCACAGAGGAACTTACAGCTCCCAGGCATGAGGCTCCCAGGACCACCACAGAGCATGTGATCCACTGTTGACCACAGCATCATCACGCAACACCAGAGGGTATTAGATCAAAGGATTATTTTTTCCCTAGGAGAATCTTTGGTAAAGGAATCTGTATGCAAAAAGTTGCCTAATCAATCTTAGCTGATGGTTTAGTATGTTTATTTTTTGATGATTAAGTTTAAATAAAATAAAAATTACATTTATTTTAAAAACTCCACAGCATTCTCAATATCCATTTTAATATATATGAAAATAAATTATAATACGTAAGTGTTGGCTTACTAATTTGACTATGAGGTTATTTATAAAATGATGAATAATGACTGTCAGGTTTTCATACTTCCCAACAAAAACAAAAAAACCACCCACTTGGTTCTTCCTCACACTACAGATATAAGTCTAGTACAAAATGTCTGGCATATTCCTACAGCAATTCCCTTAGGTAATGAGGACCTCCAAATCATCTACAGCAAGTTTCATTTAAACTTAGATGAGAGTGGGGGCAAGGAAAGATTATTAAAGAAAAGATGACAACCATCTGCTCTCCCCTTCACAATGAGAAATGAAGAGGCAGAATTAAATTTAAAAGAAAAAAGACTAGGGGAGGATATTTTGAAAGCAATGTACTAAAAGAAATGGATCAATAAAAGATATCTTAACTTTTTGAAGGCTAGTTTATGTTTGGAATGAGTTCCCTCTTATTCATACTCTAAGAAATGAACAAATGACTTATTCTATTATTGTCTGTTCTTCCAGTCTAGACACCTCTTTACCAAACTTTATTTTGTACAGAGATAGTTACTAGTTGCCTGTGTGGAATTAGTACCAAAACTAGGAGTAAAGCAGTATCCCAGAAGACACAGATTTAACTCTTAATATCGCTATTAAATATCAGACTAAAATATCTATGAGACAGAATGGCTATAATAGTATAATTATAGCCTGTTGTATGACTTTATGCTAAGTCTATTAATTGTGACATTTTAAGGTACTTTACATGTATAATATAGGACAATAAAAGATCAATTAAGATTAAGCATTTAAAAACAAAAACAGAAAACCTTAGTTAAAACTGAATCCAATGGATCTTTCTCAATATCCATTTTAATACATATGGAAGCAAATTATAATACGTACGAGTTGGCTTATTAATTTGACTATGAGGTTATTTATAAAATGATGACTAATGACTATCAGGTTTTCTGTTAACGTGATCAGATTCTTTCTGTTAATTTGTTTAAATTAATTTGTTAAATGAACTTTACAAAGATAAAGTTTCCTCTCAAATCCACTTGGCTAATGAAAAGTGTCATAAAAAAACATTAAATATTTCTACATAGTTAAGCCAGTAAAGATTTTATCTACCAGCTAGTTAATGGATACCCTGAAATAGAAAATCTAGAAAACCACATTTCCTTAATATAGATGGTTTTCAATTAGATCTGAATAACAACTAGATTTGAGTAGCTGAATACCTTTAAAATCAGACCGAGATGCCTAATGCTAAGAACAATATAGAAAATAGGAGAAACTATTTCTTAGGAAAAGATATTTGAGAGCCAGTGACTATTTAAAGTAGATGTCTCAATCCCTGAACCTATTTCTCATCAGACTCTATATTAGAAAATATAGGGATTTCAATAAAAAATACCAACCATCCTTTATCCTAAAAGAACCACTGATATTGGCTTACATTATTCACTGTCTTGAAAAATCACCCAATAGCCCACTACTCAGCTTGAATCCCTCAGTGATTCTATAAAAATGGCATGGCCCAGCCATTAAAGTGAGAAAACTTCTACTTCTTGAAGAAGTCAGATTTTATGGAAATAAATCATGTAGACTGTACGGTAACCAGTTGCAAGTTCAGCAGATTCATAAGAACTAGACTCAAAGTTATGTCCTAACATTCAAAATTCCACTCGGCTTCTTTATTACTGAGACCTTACTGTTATGAAAATCTATTCTTTCCTGTAACCACTGGCAAGGTTTTTGGCACAGATTCAGTACAAAAACATCTAGAATCAGAGAACCATTTGAAATCAATTTTTAAACACTGAGGACTAATAACACTTGCTACAGATTTAAATGGATAGACTAAAAAATTAGAGTGACACAAAAAAAATTCTATGTAAATGGCTAATCAGTTCAACTGCTTGTCATACTTTTTAAGCTGGTCATGACTGGCAGAAACTAGTAACAGAGATTGATGAGAACAGATAGAGTGGTGTTGGTAGTCACAGTCACTTAGCTGGATCAGACTGCATCAGTGGAGACCGGCATCACAAGAAAAGTGGTAGCTGCATTTTAAAAGGACATGAATACCAATTGCTAAAAGGAAACTGTTTTACAAACCAAATTAACTTCAAACTGGAGATTAAATTAATAATATAATTAAGATCTTGATAAATCAAGCATTTCTACCATAAAACTTACAAAGCAGAAGCCATAAAGTTTTTTAAGACTAATTCTAATCCACCATTTGCTTCTTAAAATAAGTTTCATTAACTCATTTTGTTCTTTTAACTTTTTTTTTAACATTTATTTATTTATTTATTTATTTATTTATTTATTTATTTATTTATTTATACAAGCACTGGGTACAGTCAGAAGCGTGGGAGTATGAGAGAATTCACCAGAGCCAGAGCGGGGAGCAGAGCAGGCAGAAGGACCTAAGCACACTGCTGAGGGGAGCAGCGGGCAGCAGGAGAGGTCTGCGCGCCATGTAGGACCCTCCTCTGGTGGCCGGGGAGCAGCCGGGGATCGAACCAGCGCTGCAGAGGCTGCTGGCAGCTTCGCAACCCAGCGGTCAACTGCTGCGCCACCGGAGAGGCCCCTTTTAACTTTTTAATTGAAATAATTACACATAGGCAGCTACAAAGAAATGCGAAGAAATGTGCAAGTCCCACACACCTTTCCTTCAGTGTCAAAGCTAACATCTTCGACAACTGTAGCGCAATATCAAGACCAAGAATCTGACATTATTACAAACCACTGAGCTTATCCAGATTTCATAAGCTATATATGTGTAAGTGTATACAGAGCTAAGCAATTTATTCACATGTGTAGACTTGGGCAATATAACCACCACTAGGATCAAATACTCAACTGTGTCATCACAAAACCCCTTATGTAACCACTTTATTGCTAGTATTATTTTTTAAAGAATTAGCTAACAAAAAGTCATTTCACTGTCCTATTTTAGCTGGTTTATCAAAAGTAGACACTTCTGCTCCCCAGGAGTAAGAAATAACCCTGTAGGAGCTTTTTCTTTTGTTAACTCCTGTATGAATCCAAGACTTAAAAAAGCAAACAAGAAAGAGGTCAAAATATGAAAGGCAATTTGGAAGGTGGTGATAATTGACTACCAACAAAAAGAGGTTAATGGGGCTATATTTTCAGTGGAAGTTCAGATAATGGCTGAAGTAACTGCCCCAAATTGGGATAATACAAAGCAGGCCAAATTTCCCAACAGCATCCTAAAATATACTGACTTATTTAAGAAAGCAATAAGGTGTTAAACAGGTCAAGTTTTTAGAAATCATCAAGGGGAAAAAAATATTATTCCATAATCATATATTTAAACATTATTTACTAAGGTAAATCTATCATTTCACAGTAATATAGGTTGCTTAGGCTTACAAGTCCACTATAGAGTCCATTTTCTCTTTATTAAAATAGCTAATATCAGAGAAAAATTTTAAAACCAGAATATATCTCCAGACATTTACCAAGAATATTTAAATGACATCATTAATAAGATTTTTCAAAATGCAGTGACTAACCAGAGATAAGGAAATTAGCATAAATTCCTTAAATAATTATTGGCAGAAGTGTGCTATAAAAAAAATCAAATGTCTACTTAATTCATTTTGTAATTCTCCCAAATCCCAAAACTTACATTCAAATTTTAGGATCCAGCATCCACTGAGAATCCCAAGCATACATTTTAGGGTACTCTGAACTGTGTCACCAGGAACAATGACATGAGTTACTAGAAAACACAAAATACAGCAAGAGAAACAGATATAGAAAAATATAATTCTTTAATTAGCCTGCTTTTTATAATCAGTAAGTTTACATTTTATAAACATATCTGAATTTCTTTCAAAGTCAACAATTTTTATGGTTAGGATATGTCTTTTTCATTTAGTATCATTCTCTAACCCAGCCACCAAGAAGAAAAATTAGATCCCAAATCATAAGTCACATTTAGCAAACTCAATTTTTGTCTTTATTTTCAAATTATAACAAAATAATTTAAAGCATTATATTGCACTGCAACTTGTCATTAACAAACTCACAAATTTGCTCTTCTGACATACTGTTCTAAAAATTACATGCAAGGTTTAAACTTTACATTCTTAACTAAAATTAAGCCCATAAGCAGTTTATAACTATACAAACATTTTAAATTTCTTGTAAGATTTAATGCATACAATGGTATCCCAATGGCTAAAACATACATAAATTGATAAAGGGAGTTCTACAAAGCAATTTTATACTTAAAAAAAAGTTTTTTTCTATCAAACAAATAAAATTTCTCACCAGAATTGTCAAATTCGGCACATTTTTTAGCTTTAAGAATTGCTGCAAGCTCACTGAGCATTTTCTGTTGTTCTGAAGAAAGTCCACTACCTATGAGTACAAGAGGTCCATCCCTACGCTGACCAGTGTTCATCTGTTAATAAAAAAGGAGATGCCATAATCTTAAACACATTTAAAAACTAGAAGAGACTAAATTGACCTGATTAGCTTAAAATTCATTGTTTAGCTTTACTCAGTATATTAATAGTAATTCCCAAAATTTCCATTGAATCATCATAATGTTAATTCATTTGATATTCAATGCATTTGAGTAATTATTTTTTTCTTTCTTTATTCCCTCTCCCATCAATAAAACACTACTTGGGACAGTGCTCCATAACACAGGGCATCTGTTTACTTGATTGTAAATGGGGTTTTGCTAGAACCATTTCTGTCACCAGCAGCTTTTTTCTTTTTTTCTAAACAACCCCAAGTATTCTCTTAAAATTATCAATTCCCTGTCTCACCTTCCACTAATTTATTTGCAGTGCAGTTAAACTCAACTTTGCCTGTTTAAACTGAAATTTTGTGAAAAATCAAAGAATACTAACTTCTGTAACCGTACTGATCTCAAAAATAAAAACATTTTTATGATCAAAATCATTACTTCTCTCAAAAATCAAGAAGATGGGGGCCTCCCTGGCGGCGCAAGGGGTTAAGACTCAGCACTATCAAGCTATCCGCAGCCACTGTAGCACACGTTCAATCCCCGGCCAGCAAGCTAACCCACATGGCACTGAAGACCTCTCCTGTCTCACCCGCTGCTCCCCTCAGCAGTGTATTTCACTAGATCTGCCTGTTCTGCTCCCCACTTTCTCCGGTGAATCCTCTCACCCCTCCCCCCCACCTCTGGCCTATACCCCAGTTCTTGTATGCATAAATGAAAATAAAAAATCTTTAAAAAAAATAAAAGCAAAAGAGTCAAAGAAACAATGACAGTATCTTCAATATCTACAACAGAAATTTAATAAATGGAAACAGGAGAGTTAGCCAAAAGCCACCCTGATAAAAGAAAATGATCTAGCAACGAAGAAAAGGTAAACCAGCATTAATGTGCTATAGAAAAAACTGAAATACAAACACAAGACATAGGACCCTAACTTGTGTGGGAGTGTGGCTATCTGGGACACCTGGGTTCTGAAGAGCTCTGAAGACATGAGTGAAACACTGAAGGTTTACTCACTGGTATAATTCAGCAACTAAATTTTATTTATTTATTTTTTTAAGATTTATTTATTTATTTATACAAGCACTGGGTACAGTCAGAAGCGTGGGAGGGTGAGAGAATTCACTAGAGCCAGAGCGGGGAACAGAACAGGCAGACTGATGAAATACACTGCTGAGGGGAGCAGCAGGCACGGCAGGAGAGGTCTGCGCGCCATGTGGGACCCTCCCTGGCCAGCCGGGGATCAAACCGGAGCTGCAGAGGCTGCGGGCAGCTTCGCAGCTCAACCGCTGCGCCACTGGGGAGGCCCTTAGCAACTGAATTTTAAAAAGCTCTCATTTAAATACTCACTTCACATATCAGAGTGGTAACAATTTATCCAGTCTGATGCATTATAGTATTAATTGTTATCTAAATCAACAATATCTAAATTGTTGACTACCTATACAAACATATCCATCCAAATAATTCACTCATTCAAAATACATTAAATGGGTCAACTGTGTATTAAGCAAGTATGTATATAAGACATTTTTTTTAAAAAGATTTTTATTTTTAATGTCAGTATTTAGCACTTAGAAGTTCAGTTTCCTGAGTTAATTATTCCTCTAAGGTTCAAATTACAAAGGTTTTACTGGACATGATACACACATCACATATTCCTACTCTATTTTTATTCCTTTCCTATTCATTAAATTGTAAGATCACATAACCATATCTAATCTAAATACCGTAAACACACCTTAACCTGAAAATAGTTCAGCGTACTTTTATAAATTGTTCAATTACTATAATACCAAAAAATAGTATTTTCAAATATCCTTGTCAGTTATACAAGTAAATGACATCAAGATAGTTCTAAGTGGAACACATTACTTTTCAATTTATATAACTCCATTTCAGCTCAATTGGTTCTCTGCACAAAATTCAAGAATGAATGATATCAGTTCTAAATATAGTACATGATTCTATTTCCACCAACCCAAGGAAAGCACCAAAGTGGGTCAAGCTTTTTTCTATCACAGTTTCTTAATTTTAATAAAAAATAGAAACGGCACTAATTTCTCATAGTTAAGCAATGTTATGGGAAAAAAAAAAAAAACATAAAAACAAACAGCTGCCAAAGTCACATGTCTTATTTGGGGCTGGGCATTTGATGTGAATAAGCGGATATCTCAGAACATTAAAATTCAAAAGGCATTCAAAAAACATCCCAAAGAGTCAACAGCCTGATGTTGTAGAGATTAGACCATTGTGTACATTGGCAAACCCTTATTTAAAGAATAAGCCTACATGAAACTTTGTCTTAGATAAATTGGTTAGTATTAGTTTATTAAAATTAATGAGTTTATCAGTAACAGGGTTTAAAACTTATGGGAAAAATAAAAAGAATAAACATGCTGCTCAAAGGAATCCTGGGCAGAGAAGTCCCAAAATAAACATGGTGATCAGCTTTTGCAGCCCATGAGCTTATAGGCTGCTTCTCAGATTTAAAGCAGTGCTTTCCAACAGCCATGATTTTTCACTTGAAACAACAAAATGACCTGGATGAAATAATAGCAATGGAGGTTATGGGAAACTTCTACATAGATAGTAGAGGAATCTAAGCCCTCCCCACTTTTCAGCCCTCCACCTCCACAGGACACTTTCCTTGCAGCAGCTCCCAAGACAGTTTGGAAATCATGTATTTGAAGGATTTCGGACTCAGTTACTAAGCACTTGCTGGTTTCAAGTATGTATCAGGAAGGGCCCTCTAGGACTCATTCATGCATTCAACACACACTTTCTGAGTACCCACTATTTGCCAGTGCTATTCTCAGAGCAGGGCTAAACAAAAAAGTAAAGTCTCTGACTCACATAGTGTATATTCCAGTTGTGAGGGGGACAAAAAAAAAAAAATACATCATGTCTGGCAACAGCGGTATGCAAAATAAAAGCCGGGCTGGTGGCTAAGAAGCACTGGGAGGTGCGATGTGACAGACGACCGCACAGTCCTTCTTTGATTGGATGACACTGGAATCAGCTCGAAGGGAGTGGGGAAGCAGACAATGTGGACATCTAGTCCCTACAACTGCGCAAAGGGCACAATCTGGTGGTTTCAAGGCAGCAAGGCAGCCCGGGTGCCTGAAAACGAATGAGTGGAAGGAGCCTGGCTGGCAGACTCCAAAGCTTAAATTTTAAGTACATAAAGAAATCACCTTTTCTCTGCTTTGGCAGGGGTATGGTGTGATACATTTGTGAGGTGTGACCCTATACCACTAAAACATAAATACTTGTTGTAAAACAATATTACCTCAATAATTTTTCAAGAAAGAAACTATTTTTTTTCAATTTTGGAAAACTATCTTATAGTGGGACCACCTTTATTTAAGGTAATACACTATATTAAAGCCTTTAAGGAAAAGTTTTCTACTTTTGCAGCCAATAGCATCCTATTAGATCCCTTGCTAAAACTTTCACCTTACAGGACTTAAACACCCTCTTTGTCACCTCTTCTGTGAAGCTCTCCCCAATCTCCCCTGAAGGGAGCATCTACCTTCTCATGATTGTACTACACATTTCTATGGCTTCCATTATAAATTTACTACAGTGTGTAACAACACTTTTTACATCTATATTCTCCACAAAACAATAGGTTCCTAAGAACTGTTCTTGCCACTTTATCTCAAGTTTATACTTTTCTCCTAAACTGCAGACTCACCTATCAACTGCCTAGTCAACATTTCCATTTTAGGTCTTACAGACATAAAACTGGCAAAGAGAGCTATTTATTTCCTTCTCCATGGCAGCAAATGGCACCACCATCTACTTCACTGCTACAGTCATACTAATTCGACTTTTTCACCACATTTCACCTATACATAATCCATCAGAAGTTCTGCTTGCATTAACTCAAAACTCTGTGCTAATACTTCGTGACTTCTCACCATCTCCATTGCTATTATTTTACCCTGGGTCATCATGGTATTTCTATCCTGTCACAATCAAACAGTTCTAAATGATCTCTACTCTTGGCCCCACCCCGTAATTTCTTTAGTACAAAGCAGCCAGAGTGAAATTTCTAAAGCATAAACCCAATCAAGTTCTACAACATAAATCATGCCATTCCCTTGCTTTAAATCCTCTCAATGATTTCCCATTACTCTTATACTCTTACTAGTCTCCAGCAATAATGACCTTCTTTCTAACCTTCAAACATGCCACAGTCATTCACTGAGGACCTGTACATTTGCCGCACCTTCTGCTTAGAATGCTTATCCTCCAGATACTCACCCTACTCCTCCTTTATCCCTCAGGTTCAAATCATCAGTTTTTTAAAGTCCCTTTTCTGGAACCCATCATTTCCACTCAATTACACTCTACATAATCTTCTTCAAATCACTATCCGTAAGTTCCTACAACTATTTTATTTACACTCGTTTACATATTTACAGCTTGTCCCTTTTCCTCTCAGTAAGTTATAAACTCCTTGAAAATAAGAGTTATATCACCCAGATTTATTGTTGCATGAATGCTGCCTAAAATATAGAAGGGGGGTCAATAAATATTTGCTGATAAACTTATTCTTATTATGTGAATTCATGGTGGCTAATACACAAGAAGTGTGCATTAATTGTTTGGTGAATGAAAGCAATTTGCTAACTGGGAATTGCTCCATTATGTTCTTTTCATAACCAATTTCAATAAAAGATATAAATTTGCCCCCTAAGCTAAATCCATACTTACTACTGAGCAATGGCTAGTTGATGATGATTCATTCTTCCCTGGTAGTAGCAATAGCGATTTCATATTTTCACTGTCTGTATAATCCACAGGCCGCAGACCAAATATGTTACTGGTAAAATAAGCGCAGATGGGTTTAAGTAAATAAAATGTGTGACTTGATTATTAACTAAGTAGATATACTAGCAGAACAACTGTTTCAACCTCCTTAATAACACACAATTTGAACTAAGATAAATGACTCAGAATTCATATAAAGCATAAGGATCGAGTATCACAAGCTGCTGGATTCAATGGAAAAAGAGATGTAAAATTTTAATCTGACACCAGACCATATAGGGAGTATTTTTAATTGTATATATTGTTACTTACACATGAATGTTTTTACAACTCTGTATTATTTCACATCCATATTCATATTTTAAAATCTGCCTTCCTAATCATTAATCACTATGGGTGAGATATTTTCAAATGCAAATAAAAATAACTTACTGTAGCTATTAAAGGCTCTTATTGTCTCCATAAACAAATACAGAATTAGAATTCACAGGATAAGTATTTAGATGCACTGGAAGAAAAGTAATGCCACACAACAAACAATTTAATGAGGTAGTACACAGGGCACTTTTAACATTAATTTTAATATGTATGTACACTATAATCTTTACTAATCACAGTCACCAAAGAACAAACTGGTATGGTTCAGAGAACAAGCTGATGCAGACTTCTCAGCATGTACTAATTCCCAAGTCACAGAATATTACTCTGCCAGTGACTTTTTCTTTGTATAACTGTTATTTCAGAACAGAATGCAAAGGGAAAAGGATCCAATAACTTAATCAAGACCACACTTCCCTTGTTTATTCCAGTGATATGCAATAATATCCATCACTAGTCTTCCAACTGTTAAAACCATACAACTTTGATCTACTGCTACATTTTCTTATAAATGGCTTCAAAATGATTTTAATATATTATGCAACGGCAGGAAGTTTTCTAAAGTGCACATTTTAAAATAATTTTTACGGCTTTTATAATGGAATATCCATGTAATGGCAATTAAAGTTGATGTGTAAATGCAATTTGTTAAATGGGATTCAAAATGATAAACATGGTACAAGACCAGTTTTTAAAGAATTAAAACTGTATAGAAAAAGATCCAGAAGCAAACAGTGAAACATTAGGGGAAGAGGGAAAGGGAAGGTGTCAAACCTGTTTGATGTGATGTTGCATGGAGGACACATATGAGGGACTTCATCAACTGGATTTAAAGGCAAGATCATTAATGACCTTGGAGAAAACTGTTTGATGGCAAAAGAGGAAAAGGAAGCTTAGTAGTTTACGAAAAGAAATGAAGCAGAGCAAATGTTTCTCTAATGACTGCTATCCAAGAATATCAGGTTCAGTCACTCTTTTTTCCTGGGACAGTACTAGATAAATAAGGATCAAATGATATTCTCAGATTCCCCTTTAGGTTCAACTCTAATAATGTGTAACCCTCCGATGGCAATATTCTTTCTCCAGCCAAGGTATAAGACAATCAATTATATTTCAGCTTTCTTATTTTCAACAAAGCAAAACAAGTCACTGTTTTAGAATTTAGGCCTCCCCAAATTCCTCCTATATGTTTAGAGCAGACAATCTCAGCTTGCTGCAAAAGGTAGCTGATTTCATACACTACACTTGATACTTGTCAATTTCATTCTCTAAATTAACAGAATAATCCCACACACCACATGAGCAATCCTTTCAGACACACATGCTATAAGCACAACAATCAAATATAGAAATTGAAGTTAAAGAATCAAAATTTAAGGTATTTAGCCAAGAGCCAAAATGAATAAACAAATATATATATATCACAGAATATGCCAACAAAAAATCATATTCATGTAAGAACTTTTTGAACAAAGACAAATATAGATTTTACACTTCAAGGAAATAAAACGTAATGGTCCAATCTAGTGCACATTAATGCACAGCACATATAGCATAGTTATTTTACACAAATACGAATAAAAGTCCACTATGACAATATGAAAAAAAGCACTTCCCAAAGTACTACTATCAGTTAGTGTGGGCTTTAAACAAAAAATGACCAACTAGGTAAGTAAGTTAGATGAAGTAAGTAACCAAGCAAAATGCTTTTATCATCTAAAGAACTATTTCATGAAATGACTAAAAGGATTCTGATTTACAGTTAGAGTCCTTGCTATACAAAGCCTATGCCACATGGTCTTTACACTCAGCCTTCCTGTATTGCTAATGAAGTGTAAAATGACACAAGTGCTACAGATTAAGACACAACCGTTTAAACCTCACACCTGCCTCATGGGAGATGGAGTATATTAAATACTGCCCAAGTTTCTGCATTGCTGTAGACCACTAAAATTTGGGATTAGATATGAGTTTTTATGTGACACCTTTAGAAACTGTAACAGGAGAAAGTAGGGCACATGTAAGATTTCTCCTTTATTATATGGACACAAAACATTTTTCCACATAATAATTTGAATTGGCTAACACAGAATTAGCATGAAAAATTAATCTAAAATGTACATAAATGTATTGTTTTTTTTTTTAAAAAATCGGCAATACATGGATGGTAACACATTCTCACATCATATGTACAAGGGATTTTCAAAGTGACCGATTACAAACGGTAGACGGTGATAAATCAGTTATTCTACATCGCTACACAGAGAAAAAGATTTTTCTTCACATCTATTACACCAATGAACTCAGAATAAGTAATTTCATTTTTTTATTTTATTAGAATGGATTACCAAAGGAGTTTAGAGTGATTTTTTTCCTAAGGTGTTCTTAAATACAGCATGTTCTCTATTTTCTAACACTTTAATATCTTAAAACCTAAAATGAGGTATTTTGGAAGGCTACGTAAGACTTAGAAAACACTGTCCTTACCTGTAACCATATTGAGGACAAATGCTCATTCAAGAGGTAAGTATTAGCTAAAGCATAAATAAGATAAATAACATGAGATGGATTTCAGAGGTAAACAACACACATTAGCAACAAAATGGCCTTGAATCCAGGATTAGAAACTGAAATTTGGTGAATGAAAGTGAAGGGCTATCGAGGGAATATGAACTTGATCACTGGAATGAATGGAAGGCCTTCCATCAACACTGAAGACACTCACACTGTTTTACTTGTGTGTGAAGACAAAGAAAATACGGAAAACTGAGAAATACTCGAGCATAAAGCATTGCATATTGGAGATCAAGACAGTATGTAGCTGTGAAAATGCAAAGGCACAAGTGTCTACTAGCTAAACTATAAAGTCAATGCAGCACCAAAAGAATGAGGGTTATTTTCGGAATGTAGGAAAACAACATGTCCACTGAGAACTTCACAAGTGACACATAACAGTATGTTGTCACCTTCACACGCTTCACTTTTGACAATTCTCCTAATGCCCTGACAAAGAAAGTCTCTTGTAATTCAGTGAATTCCAAATAATCATGATCTATTAATCAGTTTGGCAATCATTCATTCACTCAACCAATAATTCTAAGAACTATTTTGGTCAATAAAGTACCAATAAGGTTAAGGGGAGTTTGTTCTCAGAGCTCAGTAGGGCAAAGCTAAGGAAAGCAAACAGGTGGAACTTACAAGTCTGGTACAGCTTCCTAGATGTGAAAGGAGGAAGAAAAGAGGGTACAGAAGTAGAATAAGAGTATTCCAACAAAGAGAAAAATTTACATGAAGGTGGGCCTCACTGGTGGCGCAAGGGGTTAAGACGCAACCTATGAAGCACTCACAGCCACTGCAACACGAGTTCCATCCTCGGCCAGGGAGACACCCACATGGTGCAGCAGACCTCTCCTGACTCGCCCGCTGCTACCCTCAGCAGTGTATTTCAGTCAATCTGCCTGTTCTGCTCCCCACTCTATCTCTGGTGAATCTTCTCAATCCCCCCATACCTCTGGCCTGTACCCCAATTCTTGTATGCATAAATAAATAAATCTTAAAAAAAAAAAAAAAGCTTATGTGAAGACCTTACAGTGAGATAATATGGCACTGAGAAATAGCAAAAGAGACAGACCAAAAAAAATTCCAGCAACAAGAAAACCCAAATGGTTCCATATAGCAAGGCAGTTATGCGCTGGGTTATAGGATCAGACTACCTGAATTCAGATGCGAGCTGTGCCAATCAGTAGTTATTTGACTTTGGACAAGTTAATAAACCTCAAGTCTGTTTCTACATCAATAAAATGGGGATAGTAATAACCTACGTTTATAAGATTGTTGTGAGGACCAAATGAATTAATACATCAAAGGCACTTAAAACACTTCCTGGAAAATAGTAAAAACTCAGTAATTACTAGCTATTCATACTTTTAGATTTACATTTTCTGAAGACAGATAAAAAATGAAGGTAAGGGAACATACATTACATTACAGTAGCACTGGCTTTTATCTTCATTTTCCCTAACTTGATGATGCACTTCATGCATGCTTTGTAATTATAACTTGTATGTGTACCAAAGGAAAGGACAGAAGCCTGTCAACAACATTAAAATGGGAGATTTTCACTTTCCTGGATGGTTCAATGTAAAGATAAAAAGTATGAACTAGATGACTTTGAAAATCCTCTTCCTCACTAGCCCTCTCTTTGATCACTAAGACTGATAAAAAGGAAATACTTATTAAAGGGTTAAACTATGGGGCTCAGGATTTTAGTTTCTCCCCAAAAACCACGTCCAGAGACAGTACAACCCTTCAATGTCCTTTTCCTTCAAGATGATACAACTGACCTGAGAGGAGCTGCGCCACTAATGAATGTGGGAGGAGACATTTGTGTGCAAGTGCAAACTTAAAGTTGCACTTGCACACAAATGATCACAAATGAAATCCTTTATGAACACCTCATAAATGGAAACACATAGATTTTAATTTTTCAAATCACTTGACTTGCTGTGAAGCAAGAAAAAGCACAGAAATTCAAAAGAGCAACATGCTTTCTTTTTAAGGCCATAAAACATAAAACATCTCTGTTGCAAGGAGATTAATTTTTTTAAAAATTAACTAGGGCAGTGGGACAATTAATAGATCCAAGGATCCGTATGATATTTTCTAATTAAAAATTCAACATCCTTCCAAGAAAAATTGTTAATGGCAGAATAAAATATACATATTTCCTTAATAATCATAGATTTAAGGTCCCAAAACCTTTTACAAATGTAAACTTGAAGATCAGTCTTTATGGAAAAACAAAGAATTAGGAGAACATGCTGGTGAACCTATGAAAATCTGTATTTTCAAATTAAAAATGAAAATGGCCAATAAAGATCAACAATCGTATTTTAAATTAGTATTACATGTGGTTAATTCCTAATCACACATTACCTTAAACAGATCAAGATTTCCTTCTATCAGTATTGAATAGGATGTTTTTAAAGTCAATTGCGTTTACAGTAAATAATATTCCATTCTTTTCTACCCTTATACCTAGTCCTCCATAAACACACAATGCCTAATTATATTACTAAGTTGCTAATTCTCACCACTTCCTGGACTACAAAAAGGTTGTCATCTTTCTATCTTATAAATATATATCAAATTAGTTATTGAACCTTCTCTCCAATATTTAAAGTCATGTGATCTTAGCACCACTCATGACAATTTATTAACAGAAGATATCAGAAAATAGAACTTGCTAAAGTGAATTCCTCAGTCTTGTAAACAAGCTTTCTTCCCTTTTAAAGACATCTAAGAAAAATTCAAAGATGGGTTTTCTTTGTCCCTGCTTTCTTCTCTCCTAGGGCTAAAACATAAAAATCTTTCTTTGCAAGTCTGCTTTATTCCCAATTGAAATAATTTTGACAAATTCTTATAGTAGGAGAAGTATAAAGACAACCAAATAAATGGCAAATGTTGACTAGGAAGAATCTACATTTGGTTTAAGAACACAGATCATCCATTCATCAGCGCCTCTTTATGGCTCTAGTTCAGTGAAGAACAACAGATGCCTGCTGATCTACAGAACTACTTCAGCTTACAGGGCCCTAAAGTATATATTTCTTACCCTGTCTCATGAGTGTGCACTAAGTTAAACATAACATGATGATCTTCCTGGACATCCTCCTAAAAATCACTGCCTCAGACAAAACTGCAAAATTGGCTAAACTTTTGTTTTCATAATCTACAGAACAATTTAAGAGTAAACTTAATGGCATAACAGGAGATTTGAACAGGCCATCAGGTAGGAACCAGTCAAAGCCAATCAAATGAAGAATAACTAAGATGAAACAGAAAGCAAGAAAAGATTTTAAGTAAAATGACCAACAATTTGGAAAAGGTGTAATACTATTTAGTAACAGTTACCACATTGTTATATCCTGGATTAAATATACCCCGGCACGTGCCTAATCCAACATCATTCACAACCTCCTTTTACCAAAGAAAACCCCCTTCCCAATACCCTATTTATATCAACCAGCTGTCCGATTCAGTAGCCACTTGGCACATGTAGCTATTTAAATTAATATAAAATATACTTAAAAAGTTAGTTCCCCAGTAGCAACTGCTACATTTCAAGAATTCAAGAGCAGTAGACGGCTTGTGGCTACTATGGGCTAGAAGTATACCTAACTCTTCAACCCAACTAGGTAAGCCTGTTTAAAGCAACAAGGCTATCTCAGAAGGCACTTGTCAGGGCAGACCTGCTCACTGTCTCATGTCCGCACCTTCTATATTAATAAGCTCCACAGTGTAGTGAAGAATCATGATGCACAAACCACAAGACAGATCCTGGGTTTTGCCTCATTAATCCTCACTATGTTCTGAAGAAATAGAAAAGCAGCAGGCATCACCCATGTTTTATAGGTGAGGACACCAAGGCACAGAAATTAAGCTGCCTGAGGCTATAAAGTCAATAATGGAGTCACAAATAAAAGCTGGATTCCCTAACACCCTGACCAGTGCTCTGTTCATTAAAGTAGTCTTGGCTGACTTAAGAACCTAAGGATGGAAACTATTCAGTTTCATCTGACCCAAGCAACCACTTGCTCTATCAAATAGCTTGCAAGACCCACAAGAGGGTCATATCAGTATCGATACTTGAACTCTGTGTGTGTGTGTGTCTGTGTGTATAAAAACAGGAAAAAAAAAATAAGAGTGTGTACCTCTTCAACTTGCCTCAACATTCACACTCATATCACGTGATAGGAAATAAAGAATATTTGGCACACCCAAAGTATTATTAACAAGATATGGTACATTACTGCATTATAAATTTATGTTTTAATTATGCTATATGGTTACCTATTAAAAAAAAAAAAACTACAACCAAGAAGTTCTTACTCTGTAAGCAGAATAAGTCTGAATTTTTTTATAATCCAAGCCTACAGAAGCAATGAGGGCACATTCATCTTCATTCCACCTACCTCATTAACTGAAAAGAGTAAACTAATATGTAGGAAGACATGAAATAATTTATAGATTAAAGATAAAAAAAATCCACGTATGGCATTTACTTGTGACACTCTTGACAATAGCAATTTTTAAATGCAGCTACCAGCATTCATTAATGTGTCTCTGTACCCTGAAGCTGCAAAACAATTTACACAGAGCTGCATCTGAAAGGTGTGAAAAATCATAATAATTCAACTATACTTGCCTCGCACCTGAATTCTTACCTATTTTAATGATTGTTACACTAAATATACAGAAGAATAACAGAAATGGAATATTTGAAATAATTCTAAAGTATCCAGTAAGACATATTCATGAAACTAGTTCTCTTCTTTTTAATAAATACTAATCTACAGGCTCTAAAAACTAATTGAATTTCACCAGAAATTCAAAGTTTCCAAAAGTAATTGTTTCTGAATTAAAAAAGTATATCCCTCCCAAATATTAAGGTATCATAAAGAAAAAGGGCAAGAATGCTGATTTTAAATCCAGAATATAATGACCATATCTAACCTAAGTTATGCAAGAAAAGAGAGACTTCAGCATGGGTAGCAAAGCCTTTGCTTCATCACTAGACCTTGACTCAGGATACGAATCAACTGAAAAAATAGTTTTGAGGTCGAACTACTTACACAGCGCTCCTGGAGGCTCCATAGGATAGTAAGAGCTTGACTATATCCACATGCCCATTCTTGGCTGCATCATGAAGTGGGGAGTCATTCTGATACCCAGTGGTATTCACCAGTGCCTTGTGCTGGAGCAACAATTCTACAACCTTCAGGTGCCCGTGATTGCAGGCTTCATGCTAATTATACAAAAAGGAGTGAGAAGATAGGTGAGGAAGAGGATTGGATAACATCATAATAAAACCGCATTAAAAAAAATAAATGTGAACTTCAGTCAGTAAACTGATTCTCAACTAAACATGCATACAGAGTATGAGTCACTGATAGTGTAAAATTCACCTTTAATGATTTCTGTGACAAGATACATCATGATCAAGTTCCACGCAACCCATGGGGAAAAACTGCTTTTCATTTGAGCTTGGGGCAAACATTCTTTTTTAAAGTAAATCTACCTTTAATCCAACTATAGCTTCTAAACTGCTGTACAATTAAGAAATTGAAAACAAGGAAACAAAGTACTTAATGACCAAATCACGCGTGAAATTCCCCAATGCTGAAAAGAATTCCTAAATCAGGTGCTCAGCCACACACTAAGTGGCACACTCACACAAATATGTAATCACCCAACAAAGTAAATATCCTGGAATACAATTACAAGGCAAGCCTCTCTTGTTGCTGAAGCTCTAGATTATTATTTGGCTGGTGCCACTGATAACAGAAATATCAGGGAGAAGGTGCTCAGAAAAAGCTTACTGAATGAATGACATAACTAGAACAATGGAACGTTAAAAGATGACTCACATGCAAATCTCTCCTTATGTCTAATGAACTAGCAACGCCACTAGGCTGTACTCTAATAAATCTCTACACTATGCTTTTTAAAGTATATTTATTCAATTCATAATAGATGATGCCACATTAAGCATCTGTAAGTCTTTCTCTAGGAGAAAAGAAATCATATTAACCATAAAGTCCTCTAAATCACTCACAATCTTTACTACCAATATGACTTAATTTGGCAAGGAGATGTCATTATATACAACTTTAAACCTTGTATACACCTGCCACATGAGAGGCTCACTGTTTTGATGCTACATTTACAGTTCATAAGATAAGGGCATTCACCTTAACCACTGTATTTCCTGTGGCTACATTCAAATTACATGCTCTTGTCTTAATGTGATTAACCCATACAGCACTGTTTCCAAGTATTTATGCTATTCTTTTTCCAGACTATTCATCACACTGCATTTTTAGTAGTAACAAGCAAAAACTCTTTAAAAATGTTTAAGCAAATATTTCTACTGCTTAATAATTTGCAATTGAATAGGGCATAAGTGAGGCAAAGATAGAACCTCACTAAGAATCACTGCTCGTACACGTTCCAACACCCAGTTCCTTTCACCTTTTTTCCCCAAGAAATCTGGTTCCAATAATAAACAATGCTGCGGAATGAAGCCCACTACTACTTGTAGCAATGACCTCTCTCTACATTAACTAAATTCAGCTACATAATTTAACTAGATTCCTAAATCTAAAGATAGTCAAAAGGTAGTCAATTTCTTGCCCATCTGAATTGAAAAACAAAATGAAAGTAATCATTTTCTCTGACTTGGTGAAAATGTAAGTTTTTTAGATCAAAAAGAGAATGTACAATATGGCAGAGAATGATATACAGACATAATTTTAAACTGTAACAACTATAAAACATAAACAGAATGAGAATAGAAAACTACCAATGGGGTCCATCCAGCATGGTCTTTAACATTTGGGTCGCTTCCATTTTTTAATAGGTATTCAACAGAAGGTACATCGCCCTAGTGGAACAATAAAAAAAGAAATTAAAAATGATCAATAAGAAAGAGAAATGATATTTGGGGTTTTCTTTTTAAGATTCTGTCTTCTGTAAGCTAGAATAAAACTTCAACCTCTTTTCATGCTTTATTGCTTGTGTGATAACACTACTACTGATGTATGAACTGCTCTGAGTTTTAAGTGATGGAGCATTATGATCTATTCTGGAACGAAGAAAACAAAATCTGTGTTGTTAGAAGGTTATTTCAAAATGCTAAATAAAGGGGCCTTCCTGGGGGGGGCAAAGGGTTAAGCACCGCACAATGAAGCAAACCGCAGACTCTGCAGCATGAGTTCGATCCCCAGCCACACCCACATGGCGTAGCCGACCTCTCCTGTCTCGCCCGCTGCTCCTCTCCATAGTGTGTTTCAGTTAGTCTGCCTGTTTTGTTCCCCACTCTGTCTCTAGTGAATCTTCTCATCCCCCAAGTCTCCGGCCTGTACCCCTTTTTTTTAAAAAAAAAAAAAAAAAGCTAAATAAAGAACATCACAAAAAAAAAAAATCAACTGATCATGATCGTTTTTTATTTATTTTTTTTTAAAGATTTATTTATTTATTTGTTTGTTTATACAAGCACTGGGTACAGTCAGAAGCACAGGAGGGTGAGAGGATTCACCAGAGCCAGAGCGGAGAGCAGAACAGGCAGAAGGACCGAAGTACACTGCTGAGGGGAGCAGCGGGCACGGCAGGAGAGGTCTGTGTGCCATGTGGGACCCTCCCCGGTGGCCGGGGTTTGAACCAGCGCTGCAGAGGCTGCAGGCAGCTTTGCAGTCCAGCACTCAACCGCTGCGCCTGCGCCACTGGGGAGGCCCCAGGATCGTTTTTTAAAAGCATCATTTGTGAAGAACATCTTTTGTACATACATGAAAATGAGTTTTAGTTGTCATTTAAAGCAAGGTTGCTCACTGAAAACAATGTTAAAAGTGCCCAAAACCTGTCTTACTGATAGTTAATCTATCCTCAATACACTAGTTTACTTGTTTTAAGATATTTTTCTAAGCAAAAGCAAAATTTATTTTCTCCAAAAATAACTGACACAGCTTACTCTAAAAATGGCTGAATAACTAAAGGTTACATAACAATGTTGTTTCAATTAATTTGTAAAGTGCCTCTTAAGGGAAAAGGAAATCTCTTCCCTCCAACTACCAGCTTCAAAATGCTTCTGAAATATTTTTTTCCCCCTTTGTTGATTGATAGTCTGTAAGTCATTGAGTCACCTAAATACAGTAACATACAACATACATTTTTATGTTCCTAAACGAATAAAATGACCTTAAATAGCCAATGGATCTAAAAAATGATAATTTCAATTAAATTGTTCCAGTTTCAATAAAAAACATCTCCCATAGTTACTTAGGGGTACAAATTCTATGCCTCTAGGTTACTTAACATGTCTTTATCAACTTTTGCTCTATATTCAGGTTTGTCCCAAAAGAGCTCAGGAACATCTGCCAAGTTAAAATCTGAGTTTCTTATAATTCAAATACTGGGGCAGATAAACTGCCAAAACCACACATTCCTAACCAACATGAAAGTAAACACACACACACAAACATAAAAAAATGAGAAACTACCTCATGCTAATTCTACATGGTAATCAAAAAACATATTAACCTAAAGAAGTCCATAAATAACACAAATACAATTGTGGAATGGAAGTGCCACATACAAAGTCACATAGGAACAGAGTGACAATTTAGAGACTAAAAGAATCTCTTTAAGGTTGTTACACAGTAGGGTTTTTTCTTTCATGTCACATCTTCAAATTATCAAAGGTGTCTTCTTATTAACATTCCATCCCTAGACTTCCCCTAAATGCATAAGCTAATTTGCAAACTATTTGCTTTTCACACTAAATCTGCATTTTCCTCCACTAGTACTTAAAAGTCTGTCATATTTTCACCATTTTATTTTATGTAAATTTAATGTCATGCACACAAATAAAATTATGCTAATTAGATAGGGTCCACAGTAACTGGGTAAGCTGAAACCAATATGAAGTTTCTGAGAAATAAATTAACTTCTGCTTCTGATTTCTTTAAATTACTTTCTTCTCTAACGCAGTATTTTCTCAGAAATAACCACTCACAGGCCTCCCTGGTGGCGCAGCAGGTTGAGCGCCACTCTTGTGAAGCTGTCCACAGCCTCTGCAACGCGGGTTCGATTCCAGGCCAGTCAGGGAGATTCCCACATGGCGCGCAGACCTGCCTCACCTGCTGCTCCCCTCAGCAGTGTATTTCAGTCAGTCTGCCTGTTCTGTTCCCCGCTCTGTCTCTGGTGAATCCTCTGACCCTTCTGCGCCTCTGGCCTGTACCCGGCTATTGTATTAAAAAAAAAAATCTTAAAAAAAAAATAAAATCACTCACTTTTAGGCTCCTCACAACTTAAAAGAACAATTAAGATTTTTCTTAAACCACAGCAAAGAAAAAAAAAATCTAAAAAGTATTTACCAAGACTGATAAGAAATATTAAGTGGGTTTGGTATTTCCATGTAATAACTAAAAGGCTGAAAATAAGGAAACCTGTGTGTCACAATGAATTTTCTTATTGTTAACCTTTCATGCAAAGGAAAGATCCTTCACATACTAGTGCATATTATAGCAATATAAATTAACTTTCCCCAACCATACAGACACAAAAACAACTTTAATCTTGATTATGAAGGTTAACTATTCTAAAGATTATTAATAATAAACATCTTTATAAAAAATAGTATAGGGCATTACAATCAAATACAATAAGGATGACTTAAGGTTAAGCATTTCCATATTAAATGAACTGACCACATACCTAAAACTTCTTTAACTACTAGCTGTTGCTTAAAAAAAAAAAAAAGAGTCACCTGGTATAGCAGTCTAAAACATATTCTTTCCTGGCTTCTTAGTCAGAGCTTACTGAATAAATTACAACCAAGTCATCACAACAACATTACTATTATTTAAAAGGTGGGTGAAAGAGGGAAAAATGATACTGACACCAAGAAGTGTTACAAAAATTGAAATCTTGAAAATAGCACAAATGCCAGTTTGCTTGAGTTCTTTGCTACTTTCTCAGAAAGCTAGTATGTAGAACATGTAATAACATGGCTTTATACATAATAGTATAGGACTGCCTTAAATAATGAATTACAAAGTCAAACTCTGAAGGAGACTCCTTATAAGGGAATTTCTCTCTAAGAGAGATCTATTTCACCCTTGCTAAGGTAAGGACACCACGCCTTGAAGATGCTTTCAAAATATTATCTATTATATCTGGATCACAAATCTATTATGACATGCCAACGCCAAGTCAATCTTCTACTTCATATGTTCACTGCTGTGACATGAATTATGAGTAATCATTGTCAATTTAAGAATCTGCGCTAGAGAACTCTGGGGAGATTTATTTCAGCACCTACAAATTCTTAAATAAGGTGACATAATCAAATAACAAATCAAAATGTTCTCTATGTCTAGAAAAATATCAAATAAAAATAAAAATGTTTTTATTAAATAAGAATAAACAGCGTTTGTATCTATTTAGGCATAACATCTTCTCATAACATCTTCTATTTATTATAACAATAGTCTCAATATCATGTTTCTATACATTCACATAGAAACACGAGTTATAAGCAGAAAGCCTAGCAGATCTTAATTTTGGGTCTGTTTAAAAGAGAATGTTCACAACACCCCAGACATTACATTAATGAATATTCTGCTTAGTTTCTATAATGTAATAAAAGTATAAAGATTTTAAGAATAATTCTGTGTAGGTTTTGCATTCAAATGGTGCTGAATATATAAAAACTAATTGGGTAGGCTTTAAGTTCATGATCCTGGAGGGAAGAAAGGTCTGAGAACTGACAATAGAAACAGTATTTCTGACAATAGTAACTGTACTCAGGCAGTCCAAATATTTAGGCCGTCTGGATATTTAAGAAGCATCTTCTGTTGCCAAATATGGAGGTTATGAAGATAAGACGACCGATGCTTTATAGTAACCCAGAAAGAAGTCTTACTTCTACGTATTGATCCAAAAATGCATGCTCTCAAATAAAACAAAGATTTATAAAATCTGTTTATAAAAGCAAAAACACATGGGAAAAAACAGGCATCTATCAGTAAAGGGCTAGTTAAATAATGAAAACTTATGGACATCTAAAATTTTTAAAATGTACAGTTGATACTAACATGGAGAGCATTTGTTTATTCCACATAAAGAAATTCACAAAAGATACACAAAAAGGTAAGGAAAGTAGTAAGCAGGAAAGGTCTGTCAACTACAGGTGGCTGGGGGCAGAAATGGGAGTGAAGCTTTCCACCATAGTTACTTTTGTTTATTCTTATTTTTAAAACATAAAGTAGTTGCTTATATTTTGAAATTGAAATTTCAATGAAGGATATACTCCAGATAATCATAAAATCTGAGGAGTCATATAACTGAAAACTAAATGAACATAAATGCAACTAAAATTATGTCACCATAGAGAAGAATCTAACTCTGGAAATTCTGAGAAAGACTTATTAAGAAGGCAGTCTATGGTGCCTCCCTGGTGTCGCAGGCAGTTGAGCGCAGCGCTGTGAAGCTGTCCACAGCCTCTGCAACGCGGGTTCGATTCCAGGCCAGTCAAGGAGATTCCCACATGGTGCGCAGACCTGCCTCACCTGCTGCTCCCCTCAGCAGGGTATTTCTTCAGTCTGCCTATTCTGTTCCCCACTGTGTCTCTGGTGAATCCTCTCACCCTCCCACACCTCTGGCCTGTACCCCAGTTCTTGTATAAATAAATAAATAAATCTTTAAAAAAAAAAAAGGAAGGTAGCCTATTGCTAGATTTTGAATGGAACAAAGGGAAATGGGAAAAGATGCAGAGCATGTGAAGCAGAGAGAAGAACACATGCAAAATTACTAGTAGCATTAATGAATATATTTGAATAATTCATAAGATTAAAGTTATGCGTGAGAGGACAAAAGGGTTCAGATCATGCCTGGGTGGAAAATTCACTCATTTATTCAATAAATATCAATAGCAATCTACCGTGTGCCAGGCAAAGTTCTAGATACCACAGACGTAACATTGAACAAACGGATTCTTGCTATCATTCTAAAGAACAAGCAGCAAAGAGATCTATAACAATGTCAGGAAAAAAACAATGGGAAGAAAAGCAAAGAACTGAGGGTACAGTAGAGACTGTTACTTTAGAGCAGTCAGGAATAGTCTCTCTAAAGAGTTGGTGTCTGAGCAGAAGGAGGGCTCACATAAAATTGTGTGGAGCACGGGAAGAAGTGTGTATTTTATTTTAAATGTAGGAGAGCAGAGAAACAGAAATTTCTGACAGTTCAGATTAGTCTGGCAGTCACATAGAGCACTGATTACCAGAAGTGTAAAGGAAAGCAGAGCACGAAATTAGGAAGTTACTTCTATGGCTTAGCTGGAAGAATTATGACTGCCCACCCCCACCTCCAAACATTCCATGTCCTAATCCCTAGAACTTGTAAATGTGACCTTACATGGCAAAAGGAACTTATTGTGATTAAGGATGCAGACCTTGAGATGAAGAGGTTATCCTGTACTGTTTGGTGGCCCCAGACTCAACCTATGAGTGAAAACATTTTGCTGGCTAGGGCCAAAAAATGGGATGCAAGGACTCCATCCACTCTTGCTGGTTTTAAGGACAGAGGAAGAGGATCACAGATTAAGGAATGGGATAGCCTGTAGAACCTGAGAACCATCACCTGTAAGATCGAAGAAAATGGGATCTCAGTCCAACAACTACCAAGAACATGCAATTTCTGCCACCAGCACAAATAAGCAAGAAAACAGATTCTCTCCTAAGGTAATGCAGCTGACAGAAAGTAATACAGCTGACAAAATGACTTTCGTCTGGTGAGACCCAAACCAGACTTCTAACCTACAGAACTGTTTTAAGTCGGTAAATTTGTGGTAATTTGTTATGACAGTAATATGGCACAAATGCCAGCGGTCAGGGCACGAAAAGATAAGTAGCTTCTACCAGTTAGTAGTACGGAAAGTTCTGGCCAACAAAGATGCTCAGAGGTGGGTTTGGGGCACGATACCAAAGAATCTTAATAATGTCACCAAGTTCAGAGATCATTCTGCAAAGCTGTAACTGCAGCCTGGGAAGCCACAGTCCAAGAGATCTGAAAAACTACTGCAGGGTCCTCTGCACTCCCTCAGTGCGTACATCAAGCCTTCACAGCACAAGTGTGCACTCTTAAACAATGGAAAGGGGTTAACTGTGAGTGGAGCAAGATACTCAGGGAAAAGTAACAAGAACAACATCTATCTTCTGACAGCAAAAAACCCTGGTACTTCCCTTTATTTGCTTTGCTGTCTGAAAGGTCATCAGATCTATATTAATTATTCAGCGGCAGTAACTTCTTCCTCTTTCTTTGCTCCTTGTTCCATTTTAATTTTAACCTTAGAGCTACCTCAATCCTTTGCTGAAGAGAGTACGAAGTTCCTAAGATAGCAGAATTGCAATATTCACTTTTCTAGTAATGGAATTAGTCATTTGAGGCTAACCAATCAAGAAAAAAGACAGAAATTAAATGAGTACTATTTATAAAAAGATAAATATAAATTCATTTCCCCCCCCAAGTATTTTTCCCCAAATATTAACATCACATTAAATTCACAATAAATTTTTAAAATACAAAACTCCTTAGTTTTGTTACTGATTATAGAAAACAATAGAAATCCATTTACTTTTCTTAAATGTACTGTATCAGAATCAGCCAACTAGTGACAACAATAGTATGTAAAAAGTTAAAAGAGAATCAAAATGGGTAGTTCTAGTTCTGGCAAGATTCTAAGAAAAGCAATAATATGACAGAACCTCAATGAAGCAATCTTGAATGTATCAATGGTGAAAAGCCACAAAGATAGTATCACGCCACCATTCTTTTCCTGTCTTAAGTCTCTACTGTGGATTTTCCCAAGGTGTAAGCCAAAGGTAGCCCAACTACAGTCTGTGGGCCAGACACCTAACTTTGTACGTTTACATATTGTTTATAGCTGTGGAAGAGACAAAAACAAAAGCACTTAACAAAGCAGAAGCTAAACTATTGAAATAATTAGTTATCTCACATAAGATTATGGCGCCCAGGGGCCATGAATTTTGTTTTTTTGGTTCAGAAGTTATCACATGTGTGATAGGTTAATTAGTAGTCATGTCATTTTTCACACGCCCCAAAGTAACTGTTTTATATGCTGGTCTCATTCAGAAAGCGCATTTCAGAGTAAGCATCCTACCTTAATAGAAGCAATATGGAGCAAAGTCTCTCCTCTGTGATTTCTCTTCACAAGGTTACTCGATGACAGCTTCATGGCTGAGGGGCTAGTCATCATTCGTCTATAACTTGCACTATTCAGTGTAGAAGGTGGTGTGCCTGGCAATAGGTTAATGGGCTCATCTAATATAGTGCTGTTTTTCCTTCTTGATTTGTCACCAACGTTAAGTCTGCTTGAAGGTGGTGAAGAACAGTCAGGAGGCAATGGTATGTCTTCTGAGAGCACTGTCTGCTTAATAGAATTTCCACCAGTGCTTGGAATGCTGCTTCTACATCTCTTAGATATGGGATTGGAAAGCCTTCTGTTGCTACGTCCACGTTTTCCTTTATCATCTAAGGACAAGGACTGCTTAGATGCAAGATCATTTTCACAGAGATTTTCCTCAGGAACTTTTTCATTCTTACTCTCAATTTCTGGAGACACTATGTGCTCAGCCAGTGGTAAGGAAATCTTAGTTAAGCTTCCAAAATCTTCAGATTCTATCACAGAACCACTTGCTAGCAAGTCTATTTCACCATTTCTTGGAGGGCTAGCGCTAAGAGATGCTTGGCTAGAGAATGAGATCAGTTTTTCTTTAAATTCTTTAGACTCAAGTTCACAACGTTCTGTTTCTGCCTTACATTCTTGGTGGATTTCAATTAAAGTTTTCTTCTTTTGCTTTTTCCCAGACCTTGTAGAAGTCTTTTTAGGCCTCTCAGAAATATTTGCTGGAGGAGTTGTAGAAACAAATTCATACATTGAGGCTTGCTGAGCATTCTCATCATTTACAATTTGAGGCTGGGTCTGCACTGAAACTTTATTCACAATATATCTGACCTTCTTACTTCGAGGACTAAACCACATTTTTATTGAATTCTTCTTATTTTCTGAGTCTTTAAATAAGCTTTTCCTAGATATATCTTCTTTCAAATCTGACAGAAAAAAGCAAAGAAATCCATTATATGAACTTATTATCTTTTCCCATGTTAAACTCCCAAAGGGTTTTATTGATAATTCTCCTAAGTATAGCAACCTTTTATTTGGTACCTTTCTCTCATTGTAGACTATGAATTCCTTGAGAGTAGATATTTACTCCTTCAACAAACATTTACAGAATCCTACTCTATTCTAGGCAACATTCTAAGGGCTAGAGATACAACAAAGAACAAAATATGGAACTTATATTCTGCCAAGAATAGGCAGAATATACAAACAAAGAAGTAGGACAAATAGTATGCTCATGAGTATAAGCAAGCAGAGATATTTAATAAAAGTAGTCAAAACTGATTTAATTTTCAAAAGTTTGAAAACCAATAACTCACTTTATCAAGAAACTAAAGGAAAACCATGCGATTTTCTTAACAAATACAGAAAAAAAATTAACAAAATCTAACAACCATTCATGATTTTATAAAAGATTCGGCAAATTAGGGATAGAGGGAACTTCTTCAACCTGAAATACATGCAAAAATACATAGACTAGTATCATGTTTAACTGTGAAAGACTGTAACGATTATTTTGTTCCTACTATCAAGATCAAGTAAACATGTATATTCTCATCACTACCACTTAAAACCCTATTGAAAGTCCTAAACAGTACAGCAATGTAAGAAAAATATATAAAAGGCACATAGATTGTAAAGGAAGATATAAGACTGCAACTATGTACAGTATACTTGACTATACAGACTATCCAGGATAGTTTTTAACATTAAAAAATCTTACCAAGTGACTTTAACAAGGTCATAAAATACAATGAATATGCCAAATTCAACTTCAACTATACGTCTATATATATTAACAATGATAAAAGTAAATTGGAATTTTTAAACACTTTTATAACTGTACCAAAAAAACATAAAAAGAGTTCATTATAAACCAAACAAAATATGTACAAGTTCTATTTGCTGAAAATTAGAAAACATGTATTAAAGAAATTCTACATGAACAGAAAGATATCCTTCAGCAGTGCAATGTCTGTCGTAGGTTATATACCATGTTCATGAATCAGAAGACTCAATCTTTTTAAAATGTCAATTCTCCCAACTCTAAGTACAGACTACAAACTATTCTCAATGAAAATCCAGGAGACTTTGTAAAAATAGAGAAGGTAATTCTGAAATTTACATGGAGAAGCAAAGAAATTAAAATATAGAAAGGCAAAAGACTAGAATAATAACACAATATTGAACAACAAAGTTGGAGAATACACACTAATTTCAATATAAAATTAAGATAAAATTAATCTAAGGGATTTAATAGTCACAATTCATTAAATACCATCTAATATACTCTCAAGCTATGTAAGCCAAAAATTAATGAGAATCAACAAACTGTAACTAGGTACACATATTATTAAGCAAAAAGAAGCAAGACACAAAAGAGTGCATTAAAAATAGCCCAAAACTAATCTAGCATGTTAAATCTTAATGGTGAGTATCCCTATAGGAAGGAGGCAGTTACTGGAAAAGGACAAGAGGGGTTTCTAGAAAACTGTTTATTCTTCTAGGTGAATCATGTTTATGAAAATTCATCAAGCTATAGGGCCTCCCTGGTGGCACAAAGGGTTAAAGCACCGCACTATGAAGCAATCCGCAGCCTCGGCAGCATGAGATTAATCTGTGGCGGGCCAGGTGAGCAATCCACATCTCCTGTCTTGCCCGCTGCTCCCCTCAGCAGTGTATTTCAGTCAGTCTACCTTTTCTCTTCCCACTCTGTCTCTGGTGAATCCTCTCACCCCCCACATCTCTGGCCTGTACCCCAGCTCTTGTATGCATAAATAAATAAATCTTAAAAAAAAAAGAATATTCATCAAGCTATATACTTACACTTTATAAAAACAAATTTTCAAGAAAAACATATGACCAGAAATTTAAATACAGAGACTTATTAGCTTTAAGAGTTTCTTTAAAAAAAAAAAAAAAATCACAGTCCCAAAATAGACGTCACATTTTGTGCGTGCATATTTTGTGAGTGCATACTCTCCTGTACTAACAACACCTTGCTGCTTTACTCAAGGTCATTTAGTCTTTCTGAGGGAGCCCTCTTTTGAGTTAAGACCTAAATGACAGGGCCTCCCTGGTGGCGCAGGCAGTTGAGCACGGCGCTGTGAAGCTGTCCGCAGCCTCGAGAGCATGGGTTCAATCTCGTCACCGCAGAGGTACCCACATGGTGCGGCAGACCTCTCCTGTGTCTTGCCTGCTGCTCCCCTCAGCAGTGTATTTTGATCAGTCTGCCTGTTCTGTGCCCCGCTCTGTCTCTGGTGAATCCGCTCATCCTCCCGCACCTCTGGCCTGTATCTAGGTTCTTGTACGCATGAATAAATCTTTAAAAAAAAAAAAAAAGAGGGCCTCCACGGTGGCGCAGCGGTTGAGCGCTGGGTTGCGAAGCTGCCCGCAGCCTTTGCGGCGCCGGTTCGATCCCCAGCTGCTCCCCGGCCACCAGAGGAGGGTCCCACGTGGCACGCAGACCTCTCCTGCCGCCCGCTGCTCCCCTCAGCAGTGTACTTCGGTCCTTCTGCCTGCTCTGCTCCCCGCTCTGGCTCTGGTGAATTCTCTCACCCTCCCGCGCTTCTGACTGTACCCAGTGCTTGTATAAATAAATAAAATAAATAAATCTTAGAAAGAAATAGAGAGAGAAAGAGAGAAAGAGAGAAAGAAAGAAAGACCTAAATGACAATAGGGAAGCAGCTGTGTAAGCATCTAGGAAAGTATTTTTTTCCAAGCAGAAGGAAGAACAAGTGCCAGTGTCCTAAGAGACAGGAACAAATTTAGCATATTCAATGGACAGAGAGTCAATGTGGCAAGAGCTTGGAGAAGGATCAGAAAATGAAGGAAATGAAGTCAGACAGGTAAGCAGATGCATTCTATAAAGACCTCAATCTGAGGTATTTTTGTTGTTACTCCTCAATCCATCAGTTAAGTGGAAGGGCTGCAGTCACTCCCTCCGTAATTATGTAATTTCCTGCCCTTTCTTTGTGGATACAAGAAACTCAACACACAACTCAAGGTCTTGAATCTGTGTCTCCAGGGCTGTAGTCCTAATAAAGCCCCAGATAAATACCAATAGTTTGCTTCAACCAACAGTAAGATCTCATTCGATCTGGTACAACAACCAAAATAAGTGAATTAGTATCAGATCTGAAGTAAGCAGAAATCAGACAATCTATGTTCTTTGACACACTGTAATTGCATTACAAATTAACAGCACCAGTTTTCCCTAGCTTTCTGCTCCCCTCCACAACTGATTAAGTAGCATGGAAGTGTGAAAGTCCTTCTACCCTTTTCCCCCAACCTAAAAACAATCTCTTTATTTCCCATTAGTTATTTAATCTTTCAGTTCTTTTTGATAAAAGTATTATGAATTAGTCTATATCCAATAGAATTTTTAAAATTTAAAAGGGGTTGTGCTATATTTTTGTCTTGAATACCTTTGTAAGTAATGAGGGGAGGAGAATTTGCTGCTTCAAAATGTACCTCTTAGGCATGAGAATTACCTTGAGGCCATTATTTCTAAAAAACAATAAAGGAAAAGCTCTGCAAATGCACTGCAGTTATCCTTTTGGAAGGTCCATCCATACAGAGAAGTTCCATTTGTAAGGTGTCTCCCACTCTGTACCAAGAAGGAAAATAATGAAATCTCTAGATTGCCCATGGAGACGGTGAGCACTTAAATCTGCACAGCAAGCAGAACCTGGTCTTCGGCTGGGAACTTCCCAGGACTGGCTCAGTCTCTCCACCAAGAGTCTCTCAACCTCGAGGTGGCCTTTCAAGCTAAGGGCTTGAGACATTTTAAATTTAGTCAGCTTTCTGGGTCTCTCCTATGTATACAGGAATTACACATATTATTAAAATTCTATTGCTTTTCTCCTCTTAATCCATCTTTTATTATTGGAGAAGGGATAGTGTCTCAGCTAGGAATCTAGAAGGGTGAAGGGAAATTATTTTTCCTCACCTACAGTTGTAAAGAGTATGTTCACCTATATTTCTTGATGTAAATTAAACAAGTAGAAAATAAAACTTGTGTAAGGTTATATACCTAATTGCAGAGCTGGTTGGCATTGAAATTCATGTCTACTTTCACTTATTAGAAATTAAGACTTTTCACTTATGTATACAAATGTAAGTAATATTTATTACTATAAATTATATATTTGGTCTTCACCTACTATTCCTGATACATAGCCTTAAAACTCTTGTATTTTCCTATTTAAGGCTTCAAGAGGATCATCTTTCCTTATGATACTGAGCATGTTCCCAGTCTCTGAAAATAGGTATGGAACAGGAAGGTGGAAAGAGTGCCTATCATTATTCATTGCAAGCCCCTTTCAATCACACTAGCGTTTATATTAATAAGGTGACTTTGGACAGTCCCTAAGGATAGGAACTGGTTGCCAGGGGAACCAACCAGATTAAAATGATGAAATTTCAGTTCTACCCCTTGACCTCAGAAGGGGAGGACCTCTAGAAGTTGAATCAATCAAGAGTGGTGAATGATTTTCAAAACCATTCCTGTTTTCAAAACCATTATTTATAAGAAAAGAAAAATGATCGTGCTTAGAAAGCTTTGGAGCTGGTGAAGATGTGGAGGTGCTGGGAAAGTGGAGTCCCCAGAGAGGGCACAAAAGTTCTATGTCCCTTCCCACATACTTGCTCTTGTGTATCTTTCATCTGGTACTTCCTGAATTATGTCCTTTTCTATTGAACCAGTAAGCTAGTAAGTTAATGTTTTCCTGAATTCTATGAGCCACTCTATCAAATTAATCAAACCCAAGGAGATTGTGGGAACCTTCAATTTCAGTTGGTCAGAAGCAAAGATTACAATCCTAACTTGTGACTGGCACCTGAAGTGGGAGGGAGGTAGAAGCAATCTCCTGGGACTGAGATGAGCTACAATACTATCTCAAAGTAGTGTGAGAATTCAATTAATTGA